AGAATTGACTACCACATTATTTTGTCATTACTTTAATTTGTTCAGCTGTCTTTACACTAACCGCACCTAAATTCATTTAAAAGGTATAAACCAGGGCAGCCTGGGTGGCTCCTCAGTTTAGCACCACCTTTGGCCCAGAGTGTGATTCTGGAGACCTGGGATCTGGTCCCACTTCGGGCTCTCTCCATGGAGCCTGCTTCTCCCTCTGCCTGTGTCTCTGTCTCTGTTGAATAAATAAATAAAATCTTTTTATTACAGAGAGAGAGGGAGGCAGAGACACAGGCAGAGGAAGAAGCACGCTCCGTAAGGGAGACTGATGCAGGACTCAAATCCGAGGCTCCAGGATCATGCCCTGGGCCTAAGGCAGGATCTAAACCACTGAACCACCCAGGAATCCTCTGTAATACTTTTTATTTTTTTTAATTTTTAAAAGATTTTATTTATTTATTCATGAGAGACACGGAGAGAGAGGCAGAGACACAGGCAGAGGAAGAAGCAGGCTCCATAAGGGAGTCTGATGCAGGACTCAAATCTGAGGCTCCAGGATCGCGCCCTGGGCCAAAGGCAGGCGCCAAACCGCTGCGCCACCCAGGGATCCCTATAATACTTTTTAAATGAGCAATTCAACTTCTAGGAATTAAACTCCCTATCTTTGAAATGCATGTATTTCAATATGCATACCTTTGATATGAGGTAAGAGCTAAATTGTCTTCTGCAGCATTGCATGAAATAGCAAAATATTTAGAAACAATACAAATTTCCATCAGCAGGTGTTGGTTAAACAAATTATGGCACACCCAAACAGAATACTCTTCAACTGTGTTTTTGAAAAAAAGGATGCTCTTTGTGCATGGGTAGAGAGTAATCTTTAAGTAATGTTATTAAGGGCAGCCCCGGTGGCGCAGCGGTTTGGCGCCGCCTGCAGATTGGGGTGTGATCTTGGAGACCCGGGATCACACCCCAGGCTGCAGTCCCACATGGGATTGAGTCCCACATCGGTTCGAGCCCCACATCGGATCGAGTCCCACATCTGGCTCCCTGCGTGAAGCCTGCTTCTCCCTCTCCCTCTGCCTGTGTCTCTGCCTCTCTCTCTGTGTGTCAATAAATAAATAAAATCTTTAAAAAAAATGTTATTAAATGAGAAGAACAGGTATAGAACACAGTATATATAGCACACTTTTATTTGTGTGAATAATACATGTTTAAACATTTTTTAATTTCATATACATAAAAGATCACTGGAAGAACACATAAGAGATTAATATTGATTGAAAAGAGGGCAATTGGAAGGTAGCAGATGTGAATGGGAGTAAGGGTTTTCATGGTACACTATTTTATAGTTTTTGTATTTTGAAACATGAAAGTGAATAGTTTATTCAAAATTATTACATTAAAAATTAAATGAAAAGGAACATGCTTGGAAAAATACACACTTCTACAATATAAAAACAAACTACCTTAACAGCAGTTACCTCCAGATAGAAGGATTGGGAAACATGACAGTATCTAGGAATTTTCTGCATTTTTACCCTCAGTAATGTTTGAAAATTGTTTTTACTGTGTACATTTACTCCTTTTGTAATAATAATTTTAAATGTTGACTCAAAAAAACACATATAGATCCCAACACACACAGACATACACTTTGTAGATTTTATTTTTTTTAATTTTTTTAAAAAATATTTTATTTATCCATAAGAGACACAGAGAGAGGCAGAGGGAGAAGCAGGCTCCCCACAAGGAGCCCGATGTGGGACTCCATCCCGGATTCTGGGATCAGGACCTGAGCCAAAGGCAGACACTCAACCGCTGAGCTACCCAGGCATCCCACTTTGTAGATTTTTTTTTTTTATTTTTTTTCCACTTTGTAGATTTTAAACACTGGAAAGCATCTGGCCAATAAGATTTCCCAAACCAATTGGATTTGTAAGCTGCCAGTTAAAGGTGAGTGAAAGGAATGTTTAAGGGCATCAGATTAACAGAGATAATATGAGCAATAAAACCAGAGAGACCTCTCCCTCCCAAAAAATCAAACCAAACCGAAACAGAGAAACCCAAGGTATGTGGGTTGCAACTCCCTGAATCTACACACCAGGGATCATCTAGCAACTGGGACTGGAAATATTCTACTGACCGATGGCTAAACTGCCTTCCCCGCTGAACAGCATTTCACATTGGCCCTGTGAGTTTGCCTTGGGTAGGTCCTCCATTTTTTGGTCTTCCACAGATAATCCACTTCTTCTGACTAATGCATTTTTTTCTTAAGTTACTGTAGAAACTCAGGTTAACAGTCAAACCTGTGACTCTCTAATGGCTGCCTATTGATATTCTCATTAATCATATGTATACTTGCATTTTATTTTAAGGGGTGAGGGAAAGGTGACTATCTCAGTTCCTGGAGGGAATACATGGTAGCTTTCCAGTACTTACATCAATCTTCATCTGCTTTCATTTTACCTTGACCTTCCCCTTGTCCTGAATTTTTTTTTTTTATGAAAACAGTACAAATAAACTTTCTTTCTCTCTTTCTTGCCTTACTTTAACCAATATAGCACCCTCTGTTCTAGTGAAGGTAAGGTCTAGTACCCCATTGCAAAGCTTTGGTTCCCCTGCCTCTGTTTTCAAATAACCCTGGGGACTTACTCCAGCCAAGGCAGTCCTGTTTGCAGGAGTCAGAAACAGAAATAATTATCAAGACTCTGCTAACAGTGCATGCATGGATAGGTTTATGTCTCCACACCATTATGTTTCCATACTGCTGTTAAAGCCTGGTTCAGGGATGCCTGGGTGGCTCAGTGATTGAGTGTCTGCCTTTGGCTCAGGTCGCGATCCCGGGATCCTGGATCAAGTTCCACATCGGGCTCCCCACAGGGAGCCTGCTTCTCGCTCTGCCTATGTCTCTGCCTCTCCCTTTGTGTCTCTCATGAATAAATAAATAAAATCTTAAAAAAAAAAACAAAAAACAAAACAAAACAAAAAAAACCCAAAAACCTCGTTCAGCCTGGTCCATGAATATGTGTCTTATGTAATGGCTGCACACTGGTCCAAGTTCCTGCACAAGCACACGTGATGCCCCATATTTAGATTCCAAGGTTATGGTTCTCTTGATTCACATCCTCATACTGTTGCCCAGGATATTTGGCCAGCATGGCTGAGCCTGAGAGCTTTTACAATCACTGTCTTTATCACTTACTGTGCTAGACTCCATCCTCTTCAGTGATGGGCCTTGGTCAGTGGCCAAGATGCCCTCTTTCCTTCTAGCGAATTCTCTCATAGGCTTTCCTGCTGGTTGGCCATAGTCTACTCTACCAAATTCCCCTAACTTCAGATTTTGGAGAGTACAGATTATTATTTCCTTCTCTTTCCTTTTAAAAGATCCCTGGGAAGATGATGACAACCACCACCATCATCACTGTGTATGAATACATGAGTTTCCTGTGATTACCGTAATGAATTACCACAGACTCATTAGCTGAAAACAACAGAAATTATTTTCTCACACTTCTAGAGGCTACCAATCCAAAGTCAAGGTGTTGGCAGAGCTGTATTCCCAACAGCTTTGAGGAGAATCTTTCCTTGCCTCTTCCAACTTATGGTGGTTCTAGTCAAAGGTCCTTTAGTCTGTGGTTGCATGACTCCAATCTCTTCCTCTGTCTTCACATGGCCTTTGCCTCTCTCTCTGTATCTTCTCTACTGTCTTTTTTTTTAAGATTGTATTTATTTATTTATGAGAGACACAGAGAGAGGCAGGACACATGCAGAGGGAGAAGCAGGTTCCATGCAGGAAGCCCGATATGGGACCCCATCCTGGGACTCAGGGATCACGCCCTGAGCCAAAGGTAGATGCTCAACCACTGAGCCACCCAGGAGTCCCTTCTCTACTGTCTTTATTTTTTTTTATTAATTTTATTTATTTATTTTTTATTTATTTATGATAGTCACACACACACACAGAGAGAGAGAGAGAGAGAGAGGCAGAGAGAGAAGCAGGCTCCATGCACCGGGAGCCCGACGTGGGATTCGATCCCCAGTCTCCAGGATCGCGCCCTGGGCCAAAGGCAGGCGCCAAACCGCTGCGCCACCCAGGAATCCCCTCTCTACTGTCTTTAATAAAAGACATTTGTCATTGGACTTAGGGCTCACCCAGATAATCCCAGATGAGTTTATCTTGAGATCCTTAATTATATCTGCAAAGATCCTTTTACCAAATAAGGTCATGTTCTTAGGTTTCAAGGGTGAGGACATGGACATATCTTTTGGAGGGCCCCTTTTCTTTTCTTTCTTTTTTTTTAAGATTTATTTATTTATGATAGACATAGAGAGAGAGAGAGAGAGGCAGAGACACAGGAGGAGGGAGAAGCAGGCCAATGCCGGGAGCCTGACGTGGGACTCGATCCCAGGACTCCAGGATCGCGCCCTGGACCAAAGGCCGACACTAAACCGCTGAACCACCCAGGGATCCCCTGGAGGGCCCCTTTTCAATCTACTAGATGTTATTTTATAGATTAGGAAATGTGGGGTAAGAAAGATTAAGGTATTCATTAAAGGCAAATTACTCTCCCTCTACCACAGATCTCGGCCTACTTGAGAAGAATAGCAGATTTTACAAAACCCATACACTACAAAGGTCCTGTTAGGGGAGCCTGGGTGGCTCAGTTGGTTGGGCCTCTGACTCTTGGTTTTGGCTGTGATCATGATCTCAGGGTTGTTGGATTGAGTCCCTTGTGGGCCCCAAACCCAGAGTAGGGCTCTGTGCTCAGCATTGAGTCTGCTTGAGATTCTTTCTCCCTCCCCCTCTGCTCCCTCCCACCCTGCTCTCTCTCTGTCTCAAATAAATGAATAAATTTAAAAATATATATTATTATTTTTTAAAGTCCTGTTAGATTCTTATCATAGGACAGTTGGTTCCTGCTGGCCTTGTATTTGCACAACTAAAGGGATCTGCTAAGACTGCCTCTAGGAGTACTAGTTTTAAATGGTCCTTACCAAGCTTCATTATATTAAATTATATCATACAGTTATATCCAACTATCTTAAGGATATTTGATACTGAAGAATTGAAACCCATGGCCTTATTTTAATCAATGAGTTCAACCTGTCTCAGTCCCATTTTGAAACCATTTCCCTGAATAGGAACAATGGAAACTGGCTTGTGTTTCATCTTTTTAATTATTTTCAAACCACCCTCATGTGCCTATTGTGGAATGCAAGAGTGAGAAAGCTAACACAAAGAATGATGAAATAATATAAAGTCTGGGTCATAAATATCTGTATAGAAGATTTCAAGCCTCCTGTGAGGGGGAGTGTATCAGGCTTTTTCATAGTTCAGCTCAGAGATGGTTCTGTGGTTGCAGAGCTGGCCTTGTAAGGATTCTTCACCAACTTGGCACACCGAAAAATCATCACAATTAGGAACAGAAACAGAAGAACAACAAAGGCAATGGCGAAGGCTTTGTCTACGTCAACACTGCTTGACAGGCTTGAATCATCCATGGGAACACACACCTCTTTACCCTTGTTTAGCTGTAGCTACCTCTTCAGGTATATTTTCAGGTTTTCATATTCCTAGACAAAAGAGGATAAAACAAGCTTATTGGTTCATATATGTATGCATGTGTTTTCTTAATAGCATAATGTTAGGGACACCTGGGTGGCTCAGTGGTTGAGCATCTGCCTTTGGCTCAGGGTCTGATCCCAGAGTTCTGAGATCGAGTCCCACATAGGGCTCCCTGCATGGAGCCTGCTTCTTCCTTTGCCTATGTCTCTGTCTCTCTCTGTGTGTCTCTCGTGAATAAACAAATAAAATCTTAAAAAAAAAGTTGCAGAGAAAAAAAAAAGTACTTCCTGAATGAAAACAAATAATCCCATAGCAATCTGCTGATAAAAGTGGAAAGGGACCCAAAGGGAAGACTCAAGGCAGGTTTTACTGAAAAGGCAAATACATGAACTGAACTGAGGCCTGAGAATGAGTGTTTACCAGACAGATCAAGGTGGGAAAGAGGAGAAGCTGGACGAGAAGATATCGCAAGTACAAACATGAGCGCTTCAGGGAGGACAATAGAGTATGTTTGAGAAACAGTAAGTGCTCATTTAAGTATTTGGGATGCATTCTCCTATTGAAGAATAGGCAGGAGCCATAGCCTAGGCCAGTTCATTAGGGGCATTCTATGGCACATTAAAGACTCTGGACTCAACTTTGCAATCAATGGGGAGCCATTGGAAAGCTTTTATTTTTATTTTTATTTTATTTATTTATTTTTAAAGATTTTATTTATTTATTCATGAGAGACACACACAGAGAGAGAGGCAGAGACACAGGCAGAACGAGAAGCAGGCTCCATGCAGGGATCCCGACGCGGGACTTGATCCCAGGTCTCCAGGATCATACCCTGGGTCGAAGGCAGCGCTAAACCGCTGAGCCACCCGCAAAGCTTTTATTTTTATTTTTGTGGAAAGTTTTATTTACTTATATATTTTTTTAAAGTTTACTTTTTTATTTATTCAGAGAGAGAGACAGAGAGACAGAGACAGAGTCACAGGCAGAGGGAGAAGCAGGCTCCATGCAGGGAGCCTGACGTGGGACTTGATCCCGGGTCTCCAGGATCACACCCCGGGCTGCAGGGGGCGCTAAACCGCTGCGCCACCGGGGCTGCCCTTGGAAAGCTTGGAAATTAACATGGAAACATGGAAATTATACTGTTAGATATTTGTGTTAGAAATACCAGACTGGCAGGAATGTGGAGGATGCATGAGGCAACAACTAACCCAATATTCTCTCATTCATAGGAGCTTCGAAGGGATTCAGGACAGCAATCCTCTCCCCCCAGCACCCATGTGTCACTTTGGCATATGCATCATTCAGAACTGAAGGCATTTGAGACCCTGAAGCCTCAAGAACAGCTTTTGTCTCTCTCCTAACCACACAAAAAATTCTAAATTGGGGGGTGTTTCCCAAAATAAGGGTTAATTATTAAGGGAGATAAATTTTGTCTGAGTGACCCATCTGTATGGTATGGCAATCATCTAATTGCCAAACATCGCTCTTTTTATCACCCTCTGAAGTGCATTCCTTTCCTCTGAAATCCCAGCCCCCTACTCCCTTCTCTGTAGTTCAGAATGACATATATATCTCATCTTGCCTGTCTTTGGAATTTCCATGTCCATAGGGAGTCCCTGTATGTACACCTATTAAATTTGATTTTTCTCCTGTTAATCAGTCTCGTGTCATTTTGATTCTTAGTCCAGCTAGAAGGACCTTGGAGGGGACAGGAATTCTTGCTTCCCAATAGCTTCTAGAGGTCAAAAATCTAAATGTTTTGATATTTTAAACTTCTCACAGCATAGATTACTATTGTGCTTGCACTCAGTAAGAAATGTTTGTTAATGTGGAAACCAATGTCAGAAGGAACACTCTGCTTCTCATGGGTGTAGAGTATGACCCTCATCTGATGAACAAACTCAGATGGGGTATATTAGTCATAGAAATTCTTCTAAAAGTGGTGGCTGGGGGCAGCCTGGGTGGCTCAGCGGTTTAGTGCCTGCCTTCAGCCCAGGGCGTGATCCTGGGGACCCAGGATTGAGTCCCACATCAGGCTCCCTGCATGGAGCCTGCTTCTCCCTCTGCCTGTGTCTCTGCCTCTCTCTCTCTCTCTCTCTCTCTCTCTCTCTCTCTCTCCCTCCCTCCCTCCCTCCCTCCCTCCCTCTGTGTCTCTCTGCTTAATTCCCTATGGTAGAGCTCACATTGCATAAAAGTGAAAGTTATAAAATCATAGAATTTCATAGTTGGATGACTTGTAGTCGTCTTATGGCACCAACCTTCTAATCATTCCTGTGAAGTCCCTGCTTTAACTACTTGAGTGAGTTCATTGGGGGCCTTCAGGGGCCAGAAATGACTATCTTCCAAGGTGGCCCATTTTCTAAATGTACTTATTTTTTCTTTCTTTCTTTTTTAATTGAAATATAGTTGACACACAATGTTATATTAGTTTCAGGTATACAGTGTAGTTATTCAACAATTCTATTTGTATGCTATGTTCACTACAAGTACAGCTGCCATCTGTCACCATACATTATTATAATACCATTGACTATATTCCCCGTGCTGTGCCCTTCATCCCCATGACTTATTCATTCCATAACTGGAAGCCTGGACCTCCCACTCTCCTTCACTCATTTTGCCCATCCCCTCCCCGCCCTCCCCTCTGGCAACCACCTTTTTATCTTTGTATTTATGGATCTGTTTCTGCTTTTTGTTTGTTTCATTTTTTAGATCCCAAATATAAGTGAAATCATATGGTATTTGTCTTTCTCTGACTTATTTCCCTCAGCATAATATCCTCTACTTCTATCCATGTTGTCACAAATGGCAAGCTCTCATTATTTTTCCTGCTTGAGTAATATTTAACCATATGTTGTATACACAACCTCCTTTTTATCCATGCAACACTTGGATTGCTTCCATATCTTGGCTATTGTAAATAATGTCGCAATAATAAAAGTAGTTCTTCACGTTGGGGCTAATCCATTTCTTTAGCACTGCTCTACTTTTAACTTAGAACCATATAGAGTAGCACATATCTTTTGCATACACAAGATTTTCAGGATTTGAAGATAGCTATCAAGTACTTGTTGACTGATTTCCTTAATCATTTTATAATTTAATAATTTCTCAGAGGATATAGTCTATCACTCTAGTCTTTTTTCACTGAAAAGATCCAGTGTGTCTATATCCCCTTTAAAACATGGTGCCCAGGAGGACCTGGATGGCTCAGTGATTAAGCATCTGCCTTTGGATTAGGTCATGATCCTGCGATCCTGGGATCCAGTCCCACCATTAGGCTCCCTACAGGGACTCTGCTTCTCCCTCTGCCTATGTCCCTGCCTCTCTCTGTCTCTCATGAATAAATAAAATAAAATAAAAAAAATCACAGTGCCCAATACAGAATAGAAAACCCACGCAAACTCAAGATTATTCATCTAGGTACCTTCTATTGCTTGAGATAAGATCATGATGAACCTTGTGCTAAAATTGGAATGATATAGAGAAGATTAGCATGGCCCCAGCACAAAGATAACACACAAATTCATAAATCGTTCCATTGGTTTAACTAACTGTAATTTATTTTTTTATTTTTTTTAAATATTTTATTTATTTATTCATGAGAGACAGCGGGAGAGAGGCAGAGACACAGGCAGAGGGAGAAGCAGGCTCCATGCAGGGAGCCCGATGTGGGACTTGATCCCAGGTCTCCAGGATCAGGCCCTGGGCCAAAGGCGGCACTCAACCGCTGAGCCACCAGGGCTGCCCAACTAACTGTAATTTAAAATAAAAACTTGAAAAAAAAATAAAATAAAAACTTGGAAGAAAAAATTCATAATGAGCCTTGAAAATCCGTATAAAGAATTTGAATTTAATTCTTCCAGATTTGGGGAACCACTGAAGGATTTTGAACAGATAAATGAGAGCAGCAGCTATATCTTACTGTGCATACTGCTGACTCTAACTGAAATGTAAGCTGTAAGCATTAGGTCTGTGTCCCATTAGTGGCATAGCTTCAGTGTCTAGGACAGGGCTGGCACATTGTAGGTGTTTAGTATACCTACATAAATGAATTAATATCTATGTCAGTGCCTGGCATGTTAAGCATACTCAAATCATGTTTGATGAGGGAAGGTAAATCATCAAAGCCATATTTTAGGAAGATAACTGGCAACAGTGTGTAAAAGATATTGGAGACAGGAAATAGATACTATAGGGTGGAAAACAATTAGAAGGCGTTGTAGCAGTCTCAATGAGAGGCAACAGAAGTGTAAACTGGAATGATACAGTAACAAAAAGGAAGGAATGGATGTGAAAGAGGATTTGACATGATTTATAAATTAAATGGACATGTAGTGGAGGGAGGAAGGAAGTGATAAACTCTGGGGTTTGACTTTGGATGGATAAAAGAAAAATGTTACCATTCATAGAATTATTTATTTTAGGAATTAGCAGCTATTTTAAGGGACTATGATGAATTCAGTTTGGAGTAGGTTGAATTTAAAGGTACTAGTGTGATATGTTCAGGAAGCAGAAATGTGGGACTGAAGTTTAGGAGTAAAGAAAAGCAAGATCTTTAGAGTTGAGTCACCCAAGTGCCTGGTAGTTGAAATCATAGAAGTGGATGAGATGACCAAAGGCGAATTTGAAACAATGGAATGCTCGCTTTTATGTCAAAGGAAAGAGATCAAGAAACCACAGTTGGAATAGTTATAAGTAGGAAAATCTGAAGAGTGTGGAGTCACGAAATTGAACAGATGAGAGAATTTCAAGGAAGAAGGGTGGCCAACAGCCTCAAATGCTGCAGAGAGACGGAAAGCCTTCAGTATCTGGAAATTGGAAAACATCAAGTCATCTATGATTCTTCTCCCTATTTAATTAAATCTGAATTTCTGGGGGCACCTGGGTTGCTCAGTCAGTTAAGCATTTGCCTTGGGCTCAGGTCATAATCCCAGGGTCCTGGGATTGAGCCCCATGTTGGGCTCCCTGCTCATCAGAGAGCCTGCTTCTCCCTCTGCCTCTGCTGCCCATGCTGCTTGTGCTCACGCATGCTCTCTCTCTCTGTCAAATGGATAAATAAAATCTTTGAAAAAAAAAACCAAACTGAATTTCTGAACTTTGAATCTAAGGTCTCTAGTTTACTTATTCAAATTTCTCACTCATGGCTGCCAAATTCTACCAAGCTAATTTTTCTACTGTTAGGCTGATATCTTTCCTCTCTCCATCTCAGAAAGTAAATTGAATTCCTATTGGAAAAGTTAAAAAAGAGAAAAAAAGTTGATGTTATTTTGGTTCCAAATAGGTCATGCATGTTCTTGGCTCTTATTTTCATAGGCAGGAGTCACATTCTAGGTCTTTTTTTTTTTTTTTAAGATTTTGTTTATTCATGAGAGAGAGAGGAGAAAGAGAGAGAGGCAGAGACACAGGCAGAGGGAGAAGCAGGCTCCATGCAGGGAGCCGGATGTGGGACTTGACTCTAGGATCATGACCTGGGCCAAAGGCAGATGCTCAACTGCTGAGGCACCCAGGCGTCCCACATTCTAGGTTTTATACATCCTGAAGTTCATATAAGTTGGAGGTCTCCCTTTAAGAAAAAGAATGCAAGATTTTGAATACAAAATTCAGTAAGAAGTTTTTGAGAATGGAAAAAAAACCACAAATTATTGGAGCCTTGTATATTCAGTTTTCTTTCTTCTAAGACCCCTTCGGCAAAATCACTTTTCTGACAGAGTCAAGTGACAGATACCATGGTAAATCCAAAATCTGTTTTCCAAAGTGAAGATCCATTCTAGAATTTTTTTTTTAGTGGTTCTTCAGGTTTCTGTTTTGTTTGAAATGAACAGCAGGTCTGCTCCGGACTAAAGTTGGGAAAAGGAAGTGGGGCATGAATCGAGTGGCTTGTGTAAAATCTGGTACTGCTAAAATAGGGTAACAGACTAACAGCAATTATAAATCATCAATAATTGCGCCTCAGATAAACCTCATTGGCTATGATACTACCACTGCCAAGCTCCTGCAATTGTAAATCGACAGTGGGAGTTCCCTTTCACTAGACACTTCCCAGAAAGATCAATCCCCTCTTCCTTTCCCGTGTTCCCTTCCCAGATCACTTCATTTCCCCCATTTGTTGCCCAAGCTTCTTAAAGACAAATAAAAAAAACACCTAAAAAAGATCCTGTTTTTCTCTCCCAGCCAGAAGTTTACTCTAACAGGAGAGGTGATGGTGAGGAAATAGAAAAAGGAAGCTCTCTTCCTCTAATTCCTGAAATCAAAGACATCCTCTAGGCAATAGGATCGACAGAGGCTCCCCCAAGTTTGCCTCAAAACAACACTGTGCCTCTTCCTTAAAGTTTCACTTTTCCAGAAAAGCTCTAAGGAAAACAAAAGTTCTTTATTTCCCTTCAGTCATTTCCCTAAGTATTTCCCAACTTTGTAGAGAAGCGCTATGAAACTCAGAAGGATTGCTGGAATTATTCCCATAAAAACTTCACCAGAACAACAAACACCACGGACAGTTATTTACCTTTTAAGAGAGAGATATTCGAGACTGGCTGTTGATGGGGCAGTCTTCTCCTCCTCTAGCACATGTCTTGACAGCCTCCCCCATTTTTATCAACCCCCTCTTACAAAAAGGCAAGTGGTTGGTCACTCTTTCCCTTCCCTACTCCCACACTGCACTCAGAAGCTTCATGAATAGTTCAACTAAAACAGGATCACATTTCAGACACTCCCATAGTGAATGAGAAAATGATCCCACTAGATTAAATTGGAGCCCAGGTCAGTAGAAGAATATTTCCACAACTCTGCCAGGCCAGGGGTGGTCAAGGTTAATAGCTCAAGTAATACCTTGTCAGTATATCACATGAGTGGTAGAAGATGAGTCAGGAGCCAGCTTTTTGGTCTATGTGATAGTTCTCTGGATTGCTGGCATCCCCTGGGAAATTGTTAGAAATGCTAATTTTTGGTTCTGTATTCCTGCCTTAATGAATCAGAAACTTTGGAGGTATCTGTATCTACACTTTAACCAGCTCCTCAAGGTGACTGTCACGTCTGCTCAAATTTAAGAACTATTTGTCAACAAGATCGGTGAAGCTCTAAAATCCCTTTCCTCAAAAAATAATTTACTTAGAACATTTGAATCAGAAAAGTCAAAACTGGGATGCCTGGGTGGATCAACGGTTGAGCGTCTGCCTTGGGCTCAAGCCATGATCCTGGGTTTCAGGATTGGAGTCCCACATCGGGCTCCCTGCATGGAGCCTGCTTCTCCCCTCTGCCTATGATTCTGCCTCTCTATCTCTCATAAATAGATAAATAAAATATTTTAAAAAAGAAGTCAAAACTATTTCACTTTATTAGGTATTATCAGTACTCACATATGCCTTAAATGCAAAATTTACTACAATTTCCTCTAAGGTTTCATGTGGTTTATTAAAAAAAACTTCTATAGGACATGTGTGTGTCCGAGCACATGTGCACCCTTTTCTGTCTGTATGTATATATGCTCTATAAATTTACAGAATATTTCTGGAGGGACATACTCCAGGGCTCCAAGATGAGGAATTGGGTGGCTCATACTATACCATGCACATACGATGTACTAAAAAATTCTTTTTGAATACTAGATACATTTTCAAAATATTATTACTTTAAAAAGTAAATTACTTTAAAAAAGTAACTCTCCTGAAAAAGTTCTATATTTAATAAATTTTACTACATGCCTGTTGTGTGTCAACCACTGTGCTAGATGCTGGGGACAGAATAGAGAATATGGTATGATCCCAGTTCTCATTTTGATTTTCCCAAATAATATGAAATGTAGCAATTTTAAAATATTTTTAGTTTCTAAATTTCTCTTGCCCCTGACCATACAATCGCAAATTGTGTGGAAGAAATGAGGGCATTTGTGTTGTTTCACATTTATTAGTGAACCAATATTGCAATGGATATCCTTGCACATATTTCTCTGAGCACCTGTGGAAATGTTTTTGTGAAATATATTCCTCAAAATATTAAAAATATAAACATTGGGTTGTAGGATATAATCAGAATTTTAGTAGGTATTGCCAAATTACACACTAAAAAGTTTATTGCAATGTGCAAAATAGGTACAAAAATGCCTGTTTTTTCATAATGCTACATTGGTTCTTTTAATCTTTGAAATATTTGTCCAGCCAAAAGTTTTTAAAAGCTTGCATTTCCCTAATTACTATGGTATTTAAGCTTCTACTGTCCATATATCTTTTTCAGATTTATTGTACCTTTCCTTTCCCTTCTTTTCATTGGGCTATTCATCTCTTATTACTGATTTGAAATTATGTATATAAATATGTATATACACACATATATACACCCATACACACAGATATATTAACTACATATTTTTAATTTAATTTTATTATTTAAAAACATTTTAAAATATTTTATTTATTTATTTGAAAGAGAGAGATAGAGATAGTGAGAGAAAGGACTATTGGGTAGGAGAGGGAGAAGCAGGTTCCCTGCCAAACAAGGAGCCCAACACAGGGCTCCCTCCAAGGACCCTGGTTTCATGACCTGAGCTGGAGGCAGACAACCAACTGAGCCACCCAGGGGCCCCAACAATCTATTTTTACTTATAATTTTTGTGATACATGTTCTTAGTTCCTATCCTTTGCCACTCCCACTTCCTCACTTTTGAAATGGCTCTCTATCAACATCAGTTTCCAGAATTCAACCTCTCTTCTCAGCCCATTAACCACTTTCTAGCTTCTCTTGTTTCCCTAACCAGTCTCATCCTCTCTTCTGCATGTCTAGAATCTTCCATTCCCAAGATACTGATCTAATTTGTCTATCAGTTATCTAATTCTGGGTAAATTCCTCTATTTATTTCCTTTCCTCTAGCTTCTGAATGTTGGCAGAGAAAGAAATAACAATGCTCTGTAGTTTCATGAATGTTTATGCCCTCTTACTTAGGGGTCTCAGAGCATTAGACAATCTTTTTGTTACACATTTTTAGTCATACACTTCCCCAAGTTACCCACAGCTCTATAGCTAGAACCAACATCACTTTTACCTCTTATTCTTATTCTCATTAGGAGTTTGACTTATTATTCACTGAGAATCAAAGCCACTGCACAGGAGTTGTCAACTTCTTTTTTTCCACTCCAAAATGTCTACACATTTTCTCTAGAAAGGTGCCTTGGTTTTTCTGAGAGTAATACTTCTACACGCAGCCCTAACCTATCTCTTTGTCTCCCCCAGGACCAGTCTCACTTGTTTTCTTGGGCATATATATTTTGTCTTTAATTTGCCCCTTTTCACAAGCTCAGTCTGTAGACATATTTTTCTATTCCCACCCCATCCTATCCCCCATCCCAGGTACCATTTGATTACATTCCCTTCACTGCCATATTTCTTGAAAAACTGTTGTATGCTATCTGCCTATATTTACTCACTTTCTATGCACTTCTCACTCCCTTGAACTATGGTTTCCACTCCATTTACTTACCTTAGATTTGCTCCTCATCTCTGTACATGTGATGCTGTTACCCAAACTCTTTTATCTTGAAACTCTTTTGGCTTCCATTGCTCTGCTCTTTCCAGATTACCTCTTCCTTCTGTCATTTGAAACTGGAATTTATCTCTCTTTTTCTTTTTTCTTTCTATCTTTTAATTTCCAAAGCATGTTCATTCACTTTGATAGTGTGCATAACTATTCTTTTACAATGGGCCATGACATCTATATTATACCAATTATACAAAAACAGATGCAAAATAGTGTTAAGAAACTTCCTTGCCTGGGTAGCCCCTGTGGCGCAGCGGTTTAGTGCTGCCTGCAGCCTGGGGTGTGATCCTGGAGACCCAGGATCGAGTTCCACGTCGGGGTCCCCGCGTGGAGCCTGCTTCTCCCTCTGCCTGTGTCTCTGCCTCTCTCTCTCTCTCTCTCTCTCTCTCTCTCTCTCTGTGTGTGTGTGTGTGTGTGTCTCTATGAATAAATAAATAAAATCTTAAAAAAAAAAAAAAAAGAAACTTCCTTGCCAGGATGTCTGGGTGGCTAAGAGTCTGCCTTCAGCTCAGAGCATGATCCTGGAGTCCTGGGACAGAGTCTCACATCAGGCTTAAAAAACAAACAAACAAACCAACAACCCAACTTCCTTGTCTGAAATTATAAGACTAAGTGTGTGTGCATATATTTTTAAAATCCTTTTAGGGATCCCTTTGGGGCCTGCCTTTGGCCCAGGGCGTGGTCCTGGAGTCCTGGGATCAAGTCCCAGGTCAGACTCCCTGCATGGAGCCTGCTTCTCCCTGTGCCTCTGCCTCTCTCTTTTTATTTATTTATTTATTTATTTATTTATTTATTTATTTATTTATGATAATCAGAGAGAGAGAGAGGCAGAGACACAGGCAGAGGGAGAAGCAGGCTCCATGCACCGGGAGCCCGACATGGGATTCGATCCCGGGTCTCCAGGATCGCACCCTGAGCCAAAGGCAAGCGCCAAACCGCTGTGCCACCCAGGGATCCTATCTTGTGCTCTCTCTCTGTGTCTCTCATGAATAGATGAATAAAATCTTAAAAATAGAAAATAAAACAAATCATTTTGTTCCCATTACATCCATTTGGCTGAACTTTATTAATTAATATCTGTTCTTATGTTCTCTTTCCTTGTGAAAGACATCAATTATCTAGTCAGTAAAGCCAAATCTCCTTCTTCTTTGCCATACTCCCACCTTTAGTCATCAAGTGCTAACAAGGCACTTTCCTAATTTTTTCTGGAATGTATCTAATCTCCATGAGAGTTATCTTTTGCAAGTCCATTTCTTCATAAGTCTGACCTGTGAGATTTTAATTGCTCTTCTGCAGTTTTCTCTTCTTTAGTCCATGGTGACAACTCCAGGTCTGTTTGCTTTTGCAGTTTTTGTATTAATGGTCATATTCTTAAGGACAGTAGCACAAACATAGTTCTTAGTCTCTTTCTGCTTGGCAGTAATTGGTTTAAAGCACGGATGCAAAGTTTTATATTGAGACTTTATTGCTAACAATTCCTTTAAGAGTGTAACTGGAGGGATCCCTGGGTGGCGCAGCGGTTTGGTGCCTGCCTTTGGCCCAGGGCGCGATCCTGGAGACCCGGGATCGAATCCCACGTCGGGCTCCCGGTGCATGGAGCCTGCTTCTCCCTCTGCCTGTGTCTCTGCCTCCCTCTCTCTCTCTCTCTCTATCATAAATAAAATAATAAAAAAAAAAGAGTGTAACTGGATTTTTCTTGCCTGCTAAATCAGGATAATTAGTCTTCATTTCATATTCCAGCTTGTACTGAGTGTAATCCAGATCAGAGTTAGCTTTCTGGAACATCAGTCTCATCTAATTGACCTCTGCCTCCATCTTGAATAGTTGACATTCCTCAGACTCCTGAAACAGGCATTTCCTGAAGCATTCTTTGTGTCCTTTTGCTTGTATCTTTTAACTATGTTACTATCATTTTCTGCAACCACAGTCTCTTGCAGTTGTTGCGTAAGTTTAGGTCTAGATCCCAACCTCTCTTTGGGGCAGTTGCCCTATGATTTCATGTGTTTAATAAGCATTTTTACCTGGGTGTCCCACCAACCAATCCAACAAACAAATTTCAACCAAACCTGAACTTCCAGTTAGCACCAGTTTCTGTTGATA